CTCGGTCTGTTATCATAAGAGTGATAACAAAATCGGACGACCGTGCAGCGGGAGTCCGATTTGTTTATCATGTTTATGATTACAGACCGAATTAGACGACACGAAGTCTTATTACCAATTAATCATAAAAATTACAATTTCCGAGAGAAGAAGAATAGCCAAGTTATGAAAGAAAGGGAAAATTTGCATTAAAATACCTACAATGGAGATGTAAACATTCTAAGGCCACCACACCTCCTACCGGTAACTAGGCGCCAAAAACACAATAGCAAGCGCGCGCACCCACGCACGCACGTAACTACAACTTTGAATGTGATTGGTTGATTTAAACTACAACTTGGAATGTGACTGGCTTATTGAACTGTTAAATAACAAACTGTCTAATAACAAACTGTCTAATAACAAACTGTCCGATAACAACTTGGCAAGTAAATTAGTGGAAAAATAGGAGTTGTTTAAACCAATCACAATCGAAGAAATTGTAATTTTTATGATTAAACGAGGAAGCATGTTTCCAGAATGAATGTTTCCAGAAGCATTCAAAGCGCGCGCGCGTCTTCCCAACGTTTTCCAGTTTTACAAAACTGGAAACATTGTTTCCAGCGTCAATTTTGGCTCCAAGATGCAAATTATGCTTCCGCTCTACGACAGAGAATCTTAACAAGAGTCCGAGCATGCGAGCAGCTGTAAAACGTTTTCGAGCACGAGTAAGCGAGCACTCATCTAATTTTTGCGAGCAGTTCGAGCAAAGGCCAAATTTTGCAGGTGCTTTTAAACTGAATTGGACCAATCAATACCCCTACTAAAAAATCGCGATTTGCTATATTTTTATTTTATTTCGTATACCGCCATTAATTTTAAAAGCGTGGGTTTCCTGCATGCGCAGTGCATATCATGATTTGACGAAAAAGTTTCATTTCGTATCCCGCCTCGAAATTAAGGCCATCCAGAGTTCAACCAAAAACCTACGTAATATGTCATCCCATTTCTCGGAATTTCAGGAAAAGCGTCGAGTGTTCCGTAGTTTTCACTTTCGACCCTTTTTAATGCGAACATCACAGTGGTAAGTACAACTTATCTCTTATTTTGTAGCTTTATGTGACATCCTGTTACAATTGAAATGGGGAAGAATAGCATTGATCAAACCGTGAAAACCACTTGATGTAATGACTGACACATATAATAAATTTACGATCTTCCGTGTATGTGAGATGAGCCACTTTGGAAACGATCTCGCAGTCTTGTCCCTAGTAACCGTCCCGCAAAGGACTGCGAGATCAGACGTTTCTAAAGCGAATTGTCTTTTAACACTTTGAAATTTAAAAAGCTTGATTAATAAATGTATGCATTGGTCAAGACGAAATTATTCTAAGCGTTTTCTTTTTTTTTTTTTAATTCTCTGAACACAGAAAAAGAAATCTCTTTTGCTGTTTCCGCTCGTGATGTCAGATACTGTGAAACTGAAATGGTTTTACAGAAAGATCATTAATTTATGCGATCAACAAAATTATCAACAGTAACACGTAGATGTCCCGGCTCTCAAGTTTTTCCTGAGGAGGACGGAAGGCTGTGCAACGGTAAGCTATTCGTTATTTTCTTTCAAACAATGTATAATTTCGACTTCTGCTGATAACACTTTTAAAGTACATCCTTCTCATTTGGGATATCACGAAAATCTCTTGAAATAATTGCATGACATATTGGTTAAGACGCGAAGGTCCCGAATCAAAACCCCAGCTTTGTTTTTTAATTCGCCGATCTGTCGCATGAGAAAGTAAGAAGAATGCCATGGATTACAACGAGCAAACTACCTTATGTAGTTACTGATGTGAACAGTAAATACACGGACTTAAATCTCTTGAAATGTAAATGAAGAAGATCGAGCGATATCAGTTCCTCTCAAGTTGCCTCATTTGTTATAAGAGCACGTTATTCTTCCCATTACTTGAAATTGAAACTCGAATGTACCATCAAGAGTCCACAACAAAATGGAACAATGAATTTAAAAGCCGTTGGATCGCTTTCTCGTCTGCATTTAGAAAACAATGAACAAAACAAAGGATATGTAAGTCGCCTAAATAGAAATTGCTTCTTTGGTCAATTCACACATATTAGCTTGGATCCCTCTTTCATCAAACTAAACAATTTACTTTCGCGCGTATCACGTTACACTGCCGGGGGAGGAGG